ATAAGAAAGTGTCCCGGGCTCGCTAAAACTTACTAAGTAAAACAGAGGTGGGTTCCTACCAGTTCGGTAGAACCGGTTCGTCAAATTTTTGAAACCCACCACTGACACACACACACACACAGACTCACACAGAGAGAGAGAAAGAGAAAGAAAGAAAGAAAGAAAGAAAGAAAGAAAAAGAGAGAGAGAGATGAAAGAAAAAAGAAAAAGAGACAGAGAGACAAAAGGAAGGAAAGAGAGAGAGGGAGAGAGAGAGAGAGAAAACACATGGCCGGCAAGCCACTCCCACAAAGGAGGCCACACCCACAGAGTAGGTTCAAAATTTTTTTGAAACCTACCACTAAAGTAAAAGCTACAGACTAGAGCAGGGGTGTCAAACTCGGTTTCATTGAAGGCCGCCTCGGGGCGGATGGGCTGGGCGTAACCAGGGGGGCGTGGCCAGCTCGACATCACTCGGGTGATCAAATTCCACTTTTGCTAGTAATGGGTTTTGCTAGCATTCTGCCAGCGAAAACGGAGCTCAGGAGGGCCGCCCTCCCGAGTCTGTTTTCACTGGCAGAGCCACTGCGGGCCAGTCCTTCACTCTTTCCAGAGCGGCCCCATGGGCCAGATCTTAGCACCTGATGGGCTGGATCAGGCCTGCAGGCTTTGAGTTTGACATCCCTGGAGTACAGCTGCAAAACGGAACACGCTAAATTAAACAAGTTATTTCCTTGTGACCCTGCCCAGGGACCTTGTCTGATGGAGATGGATAGTTAAGAAATAGGAATTCCAAACAATAAATAATATATTTTCAGACCATAAGAGGCTCCAGAGTATAAGACGCACCATGATTTTGAAGAGGTAATTTTTTTTAAAAAAAGGTTTTTGCAATCTGCAGGCTTCCCAAACCCTCTGCACGCCTCATTTTGGGGGGGGGAGGAGGGGGCATGCAGAGCTTTGGGAGGCTTATAGAGTGCTCCTGGGGGCTGGGGGAGGGGCAAAAATGAGCAAAAAAACAGGCTGCTTTTGAAAAAAAGAGGGTGAAAATCTGGGTGCGTCTTATATGTTGAATACAGCATATACCTACCGAAACCCCGCCCCCTTTGCAAAAATGGATGTGCAGAGTCTTTGGGAGGCTTGTAGAGTGCTCCTGGGGGCTGGGGGGGCAGAAACGTCCCAATTTTTGCTCATTTTTGCCTTCCCCAGCCCCCAGGAGAATTTTGCAAGCCTCCCAAACCCTCTGCACATCCATTTTTGCAAAGGGGGGGGTCAGTACGCCAAAAATGCTGCATTCAGCATATAAGACGCACCCGGATTTTCACCCTTTTTGGGAGGGGGAAGGTGCGTCTTATACTCCAAAAATATGGTGTACAGTAAGTAAACAGAATTTTTGCAGGCGGAATAAAAACGACAGCCTCAAATAGGATGGGGATGATCAGGGAGTTAGTTGGACGCAGTCCAAACATCTGGAAGGCCCTGGGCTCTGAATTATACTACCTAAATGTTGCAAAACAATCTTGACAAGACAAATAACAGCAGGGGCTTGTTAGGAAGCGTGCAGCAGAACTCAAAAAGGAAAACTCCGGTTCATTAAAACGCATAAACATCCTGTCTTCATCCTGGCTCGTTTCCGTCCCCTTCATCTCGGAGATAAAAGATTTGTCGAGTGACAGAAGAAGAGAAGGGAAGTGTGCTTTCTATCATTCAGCTCAACACCTGGGCACTTCCACATTATATCAAGGGGTGGAAATGCTAATGATAGAAGAGACACCCATTTTTATTTTTTGGGGTGCCTTCAAGTCAGTTTTTTTAAAAAATTATTTTAATTTTATCAATTTCATATATACACTCACAATTATTTGATCTCATAACTGTTATTAATAATATGTATTTAT